CACCAACCTGGGTGTCAGGAAAACCAGATTCTAGTTCTAACTCTAATTGTGTGACCTTAACTGTATCATTTTGTCTGTTCTGACTCTCATTGCTCTCATTTTAAAATAATGGGTTATATGTCTCTCTCATCTTCACAGCCTACATGGTTGCATCATATATTTCTTAATTTATTAATTTTAGTTATACCTATTATTCAACACTAGGTACTATGGATTATATGAAATACTCTACATAGTACGATGCAGTGTAAATCTGCATAGCAACTGTATGAGGTGGACATTTCTATCCTAGTTTTACAGAGGAGAAAACTACAGCTCTGAAAAATGAAGTAATTGACTAGCAAAAATAGCTAGTAAATGGTACCATCAGGATTTGGACTCAGGTCCTTATATTACTCAAAAGATAGCATTAAAAAAGAGAAAAACCTCTACATTGTATAGTAAAAATTCTAATGTGACTCACGCTCTGAGGAAAAGAGGAAAAATCTTTTTTCCAATCTTCTGGTTGGTGTATAGGCAAACCATAGACTGGCTGTAAAGTTAAATTTGAGTGTTCAGGAAAGTTAGATTTGACACATATAGATACTGCCCTTCCCAAGATCTTTTCTAAATAGGACTGTGGTCTAACCCTTTCCTAAAGTGTGGAGAAAAATGATGTTTCTCATTTTAACAAAATCTGTGAAGAGACTGACAATTCTGAAAAATGAAATTTTCCAGTAATTAATCTGGTTGGTCAGATAATTACTATCAGAGGAAAGGCCCCTCCTCTTGCCTGCATGCCCCCAAATCAGGAGACTGTCCCTGCATTTGCCCACATGTGGCTTGGACAGCTATTGTCTATTCTCATCTGTAGCTCAGGGACCCAAGACAATTCTGTACAACAAGTGCTACAGTTATTTTTCCTCACCTGTCTTGCCTGTTATTTGCAAATTGGAGCAAAAGTTCCAAAAACCTTTATACTGCTTCCAGGTGATGATAGGAGACTTCCAGAAAAAAAAGGGATATAAAATTAAGGGATTTCCAGAAAATCCTTTGTCATCAGAATACTGGAGGATGTACATTATTTCTGCTTTTTTCAATCTTAAAATAGATTTTTTTTTTAAATAGGGAACTTGAACTGTATAGATAGAATTTGAAATATGTTAAGATTATTTGTTTTATGTGAGCTTTCTCTTCTAAAAAATTACGTGTATATCACCGATTTTACTGGCTTATTCCTTTTTGTCAGTAGTATAGAAATGAATTCATTGTTCTGGATAATAATAAAGCTTTTGATACATGTGAATGAATGTTAAAAACAGTACTCATGACATTTGTACTATCTTTAGGGTGGAAAAATGGCATACTACGAAATGCGAGCTGAACATAGTGTGGATATAGATGTGGATATTGATTGGCCTATTGCAGAGCAAAGAGTGTTAAGGTAAAAAAAAAAAAAAAGACTTGTATAGCCTTTGCACTAGACCCTAACATTATTTTTAGTAGATGTTTTTAAGCATACTTCTAAATACTAATTTCTGATGCTCCAAATATCTTATGATCTTTGTAATTAGTTTGTTCTTATGGGGGAAGACATATATGTAAAATATGCCTTTACGTTCTTTATTCAAGAATCTGAAAAACACATTAGCTGGTTAGACCACACTTTTTATAGTTCTTGCACTGTAAATTGAAGCGTATATGTGAAGTAAATTTGAAGAGTGATATTTGAATAATTGAATGGAGGACGAGTTATTCAATTGACTGATGTCAGCCAGATAAAAAGGGAGTGATTAGTATTGCACTTGTACTCAAAGGTCTATTTTGGTTTCTTTTAGATATGGCTATTTTGGCAAAGAGAAGCTTAAGGAGATAAAACTTTTGGTTTGCAATATTGATGGATGTCTCACCAATGGCCACATTTATGTATCAGGAGACCAAAAAGAAATTATATCTTATGATGTAAAAGATGCTATTGGGATAAGTTTATTAAAGAAAAGTGGTATTGAGGTATGTGCTCCCTGAATATAGCAATATTTTATAACATTTTGATTCAGGGTCAAACAACATGCAAGGAATTAAGAGATTTAAATTTTTAGCATTAACTATTAAACTCTGTGAAATTTGGCTTTTATGTGCCTAGAAAATTATTATACTATTTACTTTTAGCTAAGTAGAATTAGGAATTTGTCAATCATCAAATAATATTTCTTCTTTACTCAATACGTATAAACATATTACTCTCAAATAGAAGCTATCTGGCATTTTTCATAGGACCTTGCAGCAAGAAAAATATCCTAGATCATAGTGGTTGGCCTTTAGAAAAAGGAAAACATCTTGTGGATTTTTACAAATTCAAAATAATGTTTAAGTGTATTTTTTAATAAAGACTAAGGTAATTATAGTTCACTAGAAATGTTAAATAGATATTGCTAAGCAGCACAAGAGAGAGGTTATAAACTTTCCTCTGTATAAATTGAATTATAGGAGAATCCTAGATTAGTATTAAACAGTGTATATTATATTTTTTCCCTGTAGATAGAATCCTTTCTATTGTAG